AAATAAAGATTTCTGTTAGGGAGATGACACAAATATTTATTTATAAAACTTAGTCAGCCAGTTKATTTAAAATGAATCTAGATTTTAAAGGTTTGTAACAACAATAATTACTGCTGCTCATTCAGAGGAGCCAGTTGGAGTGGTTCATCTGGTAAAGAAGCCCCCATCATGCCTCCCTAGGGAGGAGTTTTTGACCTGTCCAACTAGGAGGAGAGGGAAGACCCCAGGACACGCTGTCTCTCAGCTGCTCTGGAAGCCCCTTGGAGTCCTGCTGGAAGAGGTGGAAGTAGAATTCTGGACCTGATCAAGCTGCTCTTCTGACCTTACTCTGGAGCAAAAGATAGATGAMTAATGGTCAGATTAATTGCACAATTAATAATTTACACATAGACAGGTTTRTATTCAGAGTTTCTGGGTTCAGGGTTAATGTTTAGAAGTGGTCCTTTTAGATTTAGCTCCATGTTGTCGCTGGCATCAAATCGTTTCTGCAGATTTTCCTGCTCAGACMGAATCTATCCTCTGCTGCACACAAACTGGTATTTATGTGGACACCACACCCATTTATCTCATGATGCCTTGTATACACATTCTTAGAGCAGTTTAAGTCTGAAAGATAAATTTAGCCAGGGAAATGAATTATTCTTACTTTTTATAGCACAGGCTGGTTAACTGCAAGTATTTAAATACTTGCAGCAGCCGTGCTATAAAAATGTTTGAGTTTACAGACAAGTGTTTCCAGACTGATCTGTTGACAGCAGATGATATGCTGACTCATGAATATTTGGATTTGTGTGGTTCGGATGCTGTTTTTGTGAGATGTAGGTGTTTTTTATGGTTCTTTGTTTTCAGAGTTCTTCCTGTTTCCATTCAGTCATTGTGGTCACAGATCTGAGTCTCTGCGTCATACTGATTATTTTGTTCTTGCTGATCAATGTCTGGATAGTTTCTGTAAAACTTTGCTTATTTGCAGTTGCTTTTATCACGTGTACTCCTGAATGTAAACAGGGTGTTTATGCTTGAATGATTRATTGATGGAGTGTTGGTTTCATTTATGAAATGAAAATCTGGCTTGTGTATTTTTTWATTTTCAAAATGAGAAAGACATACGCAAAGACCGTTTTAGAAAGTTGGCAAGAAAAACGTGCYTGCACATTAGTGATGCAGTGTCTACACACACTGAAGCTTTAGGGTTTTTTGAATCTAGTGCCTGGTGAAGATGAAGGGAAGGAAATCATTTAAAATCCCTGTCATGATGATGTCACCAGCTTGAGATGACTTCTCCTTTTGACATCCTGGTCATTCAGGAAGTCAGTAACAAGAGCTCTTCTCATCAAGCAGCAGAAGCAGCAGCAGGACTGTTGGACTTRCAGAGAGTCAGATTAGTTTAGATTAGATTTGATTCAGTTTTAACTTGATTGTCAGTCACTACACACTAAACCTGTTGGTCCTGGACTGAAGACAATCAGTTTATGGACTGGATGAGKGGCCTCTGATGTTGCTGACTGCATTTTGTGGCCATTGCATTTTGCTGTGTGTCCTCAATGGCAGGAAGTGGAGTACAAGTGACGTGTGAGGGGGTTGTTTTGAACTTCAGTAATGTTTTCTGGGCCACCACAGAACAGTTCACATACCTGACTGTGATACAGCRAGTCAGAATGCTCTGGATGACAAAGCATCTGAAGTTCACCAGGATGGCTGTGGAGACATGGTTTTTCCAGTGTCCTCGAYAGTAAGATACCCTATAAAGCTTGTTGACCAAACCGGAGATGTTTGTTGAGAACAGGTCTGCTAATATGATGAGGACACTGGTGAGACACTTAACCCCCATCCCATTAATGGAGATATGCACCTTATCTGTCTTATTCCTGAAGTCTATTTTGAGCTCCTTGGACTTGAATGGGTTATAGAGCAGGTGATTGTCAGTGTACCACCCAGCTAGGTGCTCCACCTCCTCTCTGTACTGCATTTTTGCTATCTTTGAAAAGGACAGTCACTGTGAAGCTGTCTGTTAATTTGATGATGGTGTAAAGAATTGTTCAGATTGGAATCCCAATTAATATACAGGAAAAAATTAATATACAGAAAACTGATTAAGTTCTCAATTGAATGTTTATTTTCATATCTAAAGACACCATTTCACTCTGAGCCTGTCTGTAGCTCTGGAGATCAAAACTAAATGGCCACCAATCACGTGTTCTCATATTATTTATAGAAAACCTGGTCACACCCCCTGGSAGTGGTCCTTCTTACGTCAGCATTGGAATGCCTGAAATGATAAATRATTTCATGTTTCCACTGCTAGAGCGAGACACGTGTTAAATAGAGACTTGTTGATTCTCTTACTGTTTAAAGTGAARGACTACAACCATTCACAAAATAAGATATAAGACTGTATCTAAAATTCAATCAGTCGCAAAATACCCTTTAATGGTTTTAGAACCACAAAAAGTTTTACAGTCATAAATGGAGAGAGGAAGAAGGGGCTGAGCACACAGCCCTGTGGCACACCGGTGTTCAGAATGATGGTTGTTGAAGGGTCTGTTGGTCAGAAAGTCCAGTAGCTAACTGCAGAGGGTGTTCTTGATCCTAAAACTTTCCAATTTAYTGATTAACTTGGAGAGGATAACAGTGCTGAATAAAGGTGTGAATATCAGTTTGATTATGAGGACTGTGATAACAAAGTATTATTGATGCATCTTGATGCTTCATTAAAACTAAATCCTGAACACAGAATCTGCATAAAACTATTTTAATTCTTACAAGATTGTAGGAAATAAATAAACAAAGTATTAAAAAATGCTAAATACTGTTACGCAAGTTTCTGTGGCATCACGTGTTAGAGCCATCTGACACAGTCTTCAGTGTTTCTATGACTTTTTGATCCTTAGACTCTGGGAATGTCTGTGTCAGTATCTTTGACATAAAATGATCACGTTCTACCAAAGTAAAAAAAGAGAGCATTTAATCTTTAGTTTCTGTCTCACTGAATGTTGTGTTTGTGGCCAACAAGCTGTGTATTTCACAAGCCAAACAGACAATTTTTGTGTTTACAACTTAGAAAACTAAATTCTAACTGTACACAATATTTTATTGCCCACCTCTACCCTCATAATACCATGCTGCAAACATTTTGAGACAGTCTTTCTCAACTAGACACCAAGTATTAAAGTGAGATATTGCCTTTAGCAGTGGCAGCAACAACTGGGAGTTTTACRTCTTTCTTCAGGTAAAACATGATGTAGCTGTGAACGTAACATTTTTTTGGCTTGAATGTGAGGACTGCACAGTCAGATACTTTGGCTTCGAGTTTTTAGGCAACAGCACAGCGGAGGTGGTTGGAAACCATGTTGGCACAGCTAGATCTATGGATTCCTGCCATCAACTCCAAACACCTGTCTTATCAACTCTAGCCTCGGCAGAAACAGAGATTGTTCAGGTCACATTCAGTTCTTTTCATCTACAGCTATCAGGTTTATTCTGCAGGCATTCTGCASACTCCTGCCAGCCTGTTTGTTCTCCTTTAACCTCCCAACAATGGCTCATCTCTGTGCAGATGAGACTTGTTTTTCACAGAGCTCCAGCAGAGGCGGTCGAAGTGAAAATCCCTGGAGATGCCACAAACACAAACTAACCCATCTGGCGCTCGTAATCATGTCACTGTCCGAGTCAATAAAATCACTTTTTTCCTCATTGTCCTCTGTGGAATGAATGGACGTTGCTGACCTGTATCTGTCTGAGTTTAAACATCAAACTGCTGCTCAGTAACTGGCTGTTCAGATAACTGATGGAACAAGTGTGTGGGTGTTGATAATTACCAGCTTCCTTTGAGAGATTTAAAAAATCTTATCACTTTTAGGACAAACCCTAATCCTACATCTTATCATAGATGCTAAGTCTTCTACAGATATTGTATGTAATTATTTGTCACACATATATAAAGTCATGGGGGGAAGTGCATCTTTTTTACAATTCAAACATTTTATGTAATACAATAAAATGAATAAAAGATTAGATTTTCACCAGGTTCTAACATTATTCAAATCAAACATTTAAGTGAACAAAAACACACAACAAACTCCATTCTATCATTATTTWTTAAACAAAAATGAAACCAAACTGGACAACCTGTTGTGAGGAAAAACTAGCTCCACCTCATGATCCAGCAGATTGTAGTTCCTCATTTAGCAGGAGTTAAATGAGGAACTCTTCTGACGCTTATCCAGTCAGGTCGGAGAGGTAACAGAGCGAAACCCAGACATCCCTCTCCCCAACACCACCTTCCAGCTCGTTCTGGGGGGGCCCCGGGGTGTTCCCTGGCTAGAGAGGATGCATAATCCTTCCAGCGAGTCCTAGGTCTTCCACCTACCAGTGAGACTTACCTGGAACACTCCTACAGGGAGGCGTCCAGGAAGCTTGCTAATCAGATGCCTGAACCACCTCAACTGGAGGAGCAGCAGCTATGCGCTGAGGGCCCCCCCCACCCCCCATTAACGGTGCTCCTCCCCCATCTCTAAGGCTGAGCCCGGCCACCCTGTGAAGGAATCTTGTTTCGAACGCTTGTATCCAAGATCTRGTTCTTTCGGTCATGATCCACACCTCATGATCACAGGTGTGGGTTCAAACGTAGACCGACCAGTAAATCCAGAGCTTTACCTTTCGACTCYGCTCTTTCTTCACCATGACTGACCGAAGCAATGCCCTCATTACTGAGGATGAGACCCCAACCCGTCGATCCATCTCTCGGTCCATGAAGAAATTTATTGGTTTAGGTTTATATACTGATTAAAATTACATACATATGGTATACTCTTATGATAGAACTGTAAAGATTGTTAGATGTGACTGTTTTGCTTAACTTGATTTCATATAAGTAGATACATGCCTGAACACAAATTCAACACATAATTAATTGTTGATCATCATGAGAGTAAAGTGTTTTTGTCTGGAGACGTGACTCTTGAGAGCAGAGGCCCCCTCCCTGAACTCCTCCTCCTAGTGGTTTCATTTTTCAACTTAATTGTGGAGGAACTTCAGGCAACTTTCTTTTTTTATGGTGATTCAGTTCTTTGAGGTCTCTTACGATCCCATCAAACACTTCACAATGCTTTCATTCTTTTCTAGTTTTGGACAAACTGAATATAACACAGAAGTCCAACAACTGAACATGGCCCAGAATTAAATCAGAGTCCATTCCTCCCAGTCATGCCCCTCCAGGTTAGCCCCTCCCCTTCCAGCACACTGCTAAGGATTTAAGAGACCAGATGATGCTTTAAACCCCTCGAACTGTAGATTTTTTTCCCATGACTGTATCTGTATTTCTATCTGTAATTTTACTTCCTCTTTTCTAACAGCGTGGGAGTGGGACAGGCGCAGACACTGTGCATGTGTGGGAATGAGAATCAGGCCGTCGGCTCGTGTGTTTCGCTGRTCCCCAGCCCTTGTGGAGAGAGGATTTAGGCTGGAGTGTAAAATTTTGAGCACATAATTACTTTGAGGAGTAGTGAACTGTGAGAACTATTAACCTCAGTGGATTGTGATCAGAGCGGCTCACAGCGGGCCGTCCCCGATCCGCCTGCTGCCGTGGCGTGTTAATAATGAGATGTTCTCCTCTGCCTCTGTCACAGATGAGCTCAAGATGAAAGGAGTGGAGAAAGTCAAGTACATGGATGGAGAGGAGGCAGGAGAAGACAGCCCCAATGGCACAGTACGTCATTCTCCTTCTGCTCTTTGTACTCCAGTTTGATGTTTTATTYTTCTAAATAAAAGTTTAGATTCACAGTCTTTAGAACTGAAACTGTAAGGACCGTCTGAAATATGACGTAACACAATGGTTCTTACATTTTTGTTGATTTTTATTTAAACAAAAGCAAAGATATTTTAGGTTTTGTCTCATCGAGTTTGATTTATTTCCTATTTTCATTCTAGTATTTCAGCCTTCTAACACATTCTTCAAAAGTTAAAATTAGGGCAGTTCAAACCTGAGAGCCCCTCATTRAGGAGATTATAATCAGAATTTGGTCAAACAAATAAAATCCATTAAAGCACTGGAACAAAGCACTGCGATTTTTTTTTAAAATAAAAAGTTTGAAGCAGGGAGAAAATGCACCAGTGTAACTGTGCTGCTGTTTGAAAACATGTTTTTAGACAGAATGTGACAAAATGACACCTGTAACTCTTTATCATTCTGAATCTACAGTCTCAATGTGTCTTAAGTGCAGAAAACGAAAACAAAGTGGACTTTCTAGTTTTGTAGAGAGATTTGCTGCAGACACTGCATGAATTCATTTATATTCAAATTCAAAAATACTTTATTGTTCCCAGAGGGAAATTAGATATTATATGTATTAGATATTAATTAGATATAATTAGATATTATCTAGATTTAGTCTTCTCTAAAAGAAACAAAGCATTGCCCTTTTCYTTACCTTTACACCTTTGAGTTATGCACAGCTGTTTTTAATGATTACTTTTATTTCATTTGCTGAAAGAATAATTTATAATTCGATGCGACTTGTCTGATCAGGTTTAAGAYAGGAGTGCATCAATACAGAAAATTGACGATTCAGTTTGATACTTAATGTCATGGTTCGATCTTTTTTCGATAAAATAAAGAGAAGTGTCCATGCCCTTCTTCACATGTAATTTATTGAAATGAATTGTGAACATTTGTTTAACCTCAAAAGTCCAGTTTTTAAATTAAATGTTGCTGAAACAGCAAGTTTCTCAGTGGATCTGAGTTAGAAAATGCAGCCTAGGTGGAGTAGTTGAACACTGATCCACTGATCCTTCAACACAGAGCATCTTACGAAGACAAGCTGATGAAATAAATGTTAAAAATCTGTATTGTTCCAAACATAGTGAGTATTGAAGGATTCAATATAGATACATGGATTGTTGCACCCGTAGTTTCAGAGCTGCTGCTGTTACTGAGAACCTGTGACTTCCTGTCATTCATTAGTGTGTGTGTGTGTGTGTGTGTGTGTGTGTGTGTGTGTGTGTGTGTGTGTGTGTGTGTGTGTGTGTGTGTGTGTGTGTGTGTGTGTGTGTGTGTGTGTGTGTGTGTGTGTGTGTGTGTGTGTGTGTGTGTGTGTGTGTTATCCCACAGGAGAAGATCGCTCTTCTTAGAAAAGGACAACAGATAAATGAATCAGGGCCGAATGGAAAGATTCTGTAAGTTCTCCCTGACAGATGATGATGATGATGTTTCTATAAACCACCACTACCTGAGTTGATGCTGTCTGACCACTCGTTTGTTTTTCTGCCCAGGAGCATTCACTCCTCAGAGAGCCAGCAGGAATTCTTCCGAATGCTGGATGAGAAAATCGAAAAGGTAAAAGAGCTTTAATTTTTGTGTGGAAATCCTCTGACGTGATGAAGATTAATCCAATCTGACAGATTATCCAGATGACACGAGGATAGAAGACAAATTCCATCTGTCATGTTCAGTGTTGTCATTAACAAATGTAACCATTGTGACAAACCACAGAGCACCCTTCTGTGCCTAAAACTGGAGATCCTGCCGTCTGTGGCAACAAACAGAGCAAAAGGAACGAAGGAGCAGGACTAACTGCTAGGGATGCATGAAAATTTATTTTAAGAACCGAAAACTGATAACATGCCAGGAGARAAGACGAGTCAAAAATGGGTAAGATCATAACATAAATAAACAAGACCCAAAAAATGACACTGTAAATTATACTATTTGAAAMGAACTCTTAGCAAGCAAAAATTTCTTAAAGTATATCAAACAAAACAATTTCTCAAAGGCCATCTTATTAAATAAGGCACATTAATTATAAAAAAGTCCTTTAACACTGATCTCAGATTTAAACAAAAGAGAAAAAGTCATTGTCTTCTTCCTTTTATTCACGGCAACCACACCTCCGGCTAAAGAGCCCCCTGGTGGCTGTAGAAAAAAATCCACTTATAAGCCGCACCGGACTATAAACTGCATGGTTCAAAGTTCAGGAAAAAAGTCGCGGCTTATAGTCCGAAAAATACAGTATGCTCTCTCTCACTATGGCTGAGCAGAATCAGCACCCTTGCTCCTAAGCTTCAGATTTACGTGATCACAGTACTGACTGCTGAACTATTGAGAAGGGGGTTTCTGCAGTCTCTACAAGTTTCTTATTTTGTGGGCATAGTTTACCCAAGACGTGATTGGTCGGATTGACGGTTGGGTTTGAAGAAGCTGGGAGAAGATTGGTCGAATAGACCAGGAATCACCAATATTTTTTTAAAACTATAGATATTAATATTAGCCATAACATGAGACAGGGAGGTGCTAGCTGCCTGAAATTTAAAGTCAATAAATTATTTTTACATGTTCACAATCATTTTTATTTGAGTCGTTCTGTTTTAAACGGATAGACAGTCAATCATATTTTAATATTACCATTACTTCTTCTTTTAAGTTGCCCCACAGAACACGATTAGGGCAAACCCTGCCCACAGAACAACATGCACAGTAGGCTCCTACATGGACCTATCACAACCTCAAAAACAAATGGTGTTTCTACAGTATATGTAAACATTTGGTTTCAGCTGCAAGTTAAAACCTAAATGATTCCTGTATGAGAAGCAGGAATTAAATAAGTATCAAACAAAGATTCTAATCCCTGGGATTATAACCCTCTCAAAGTTTGATAAAAAAAAAAAGTACAAAAGTCTTGTGTTAGTGTTCTCCCTCACAGCTTTCTGCCTCTGGCATTTAACATCCGTTTTGTTTTCATGTATAAAATGATGCTAGTTTTATTTGTCTTCATTAGAATCATTCATTTTCGTTTTGTGTGTGTTCATTGTTGATTTTGTAATCAGTGGTGGTGAACTCCAGTCCTTTCACTCTGCCATGTGGAGTCTCACTCTTATCTTCAAGGACAACATTGTGTCTTTGTCTGCGAGATGTGTAGTCCTCCTGTTAGCAGGGTTCAGACTAACACTGATGGTCTGTGTTGTGTTCAGGGTCGGGACTACTGCTCAGAGGAGGAGGAGATGACATAGCCTCACGGTCCTGGAATGAGAGGAACCGCGGTCCCAGCAGACGGGATGGAAGAACTTACTTCTGAGCAGCTCCTTGTTTCACCCGATTACTCACCAGTCCAACAGCTCCAAGTCAGATTCCAAGTGAAATCAGCTTCAGCTTCCTGCGAAGCCAAGCAATGGTTTACGTCCTGGATGAAGCCATTTGATGGCGCTTCAGGATCTTTTTCTTTCTCTGCTGGGAGAGCTCCTGAACCCTGACTTCCTGAGCTGCCTGTGCTGTTTGCGTGATGCAGCAGTGTTCATGTGCACACTGAATCATAATGAATGGAACAGCTTTGCATCATGTGGAGGGTTTGCCCCCCTGAACTCCTTGTGACGAGACATGGGGGGGTGCAGTATGAGTGTTTCTACAGCATGTAGGCCAGTTCAACATGTTCGTCTGTCTCTCTTTGGATGTATTTACTTCAGATACGGCTCAGGGTTAAAGTATTGTAACCGTCCCTCATGTAGTCTAGTCCCTCCTCTCAGTCAGACCCTTCAGCACCTCGAAGCGTTCTCTGGGGTCACGGGTGGTCCCCCGGTTCTGGTTCTYTTTCATTTGATCCATGAGGTGAAGACTAAAGCAGCACAGAAATCTGTTTGTGTCATTCACCAGTGTTACATCAACATGTTGGTTTTTATGTTGACCATTTTTTGTTTTGTTTTTTTAAGAAAATAAAAGTGTTTTTAGTAATTTATTTTTGTATTTGAAAGTGTTTTGTTTAAAAAAGCTGAAGTCACACGCAGGTCGACTGCAAACAACAAGATAAATTCAGGCTGATAGTAAACAAAGCATTTCCTCTTGTTCAAGAGGAAATGAAAACATTTAAAAGGATATTTCAGCTTTTTTGATGTGGAGTTTTGGTGTCTTTGAAGACCTCGGTTCAAAAAAAAAAGTTTAATTTTGACAGGACTGATGAGTTTTGAGACCAAACAATACAAAGACCAATGTAAATTACAASTCTAACCTAAAGAATTAAAGTTTATATTTTATAAAGCTATAGTTTTAATTTTGCATTTCACAATTACTCACAAATATCCCTGAAGCAGGTGGAGTCCTGCCATAATTATCCTYTAAGATATACTTTGTGTTCTGTTCTTTAACATCTGGTGAAGTTCTGAATGTTCTATAACCACAAGATTTGTCTTCAGAATGTAAAACTGGATTTTACACTTTTATTTGGCAGCACAACAATATCTGACACTTGAAGGCCCTGTCACACATAACCTTTTAGATAAATTATGCCAACTTGTGCAAATTTTAAAGACATCTATGTTGAAGATGAAATGTAAAAAGCCCTTCGTAAAACTAGAACTGTATATTCTTTAATAGAAGAGAATAAAAGCAATCCCAGGTTCAATCCTGTAGCTAGACTAATGAAAAGTCCAATCTCTGTTGAGCCATGTATCCCTATAAATCTTAAGTAGTGATGACTTCATGAG